TTTTTTTTTTTGTTTTTTTTTTTTTTTTTTTTTTTTTTTTTTTTTGTTTTTTATGTAAAAGGATTTCAATCTTATTTTTACCTCGTAGAATACAAGTTTTACTTTGCCAAATGAACAATAGTCGGTATTGGACGTGGAGGGTACATTTTTGGATCATTGTTTGACTCAAATGGTGTAGAAGCTTTGTGAGTTTCCGAGAACGGGTATACACAATTTTTATCAAGTACAATAATAAATACAATAGATCAAATTTTTTTTTGAAAGCATTTCTGAATTTTGATTCGTCAAGTGGCAAACCAATCCTCGTACCGCGCGAAACCACAAGAGATTCCTGCTCGTCTTCCATTTTTCTCTCCGCGGCTGTACAATTTTTTCGTTTGGCGCGAATCGATGCACTAAAAAATTACTCAATGACGAATAACGAGCAAAAGAAAAAAAAAAAAAAAAAAAAAAACAGGGTGTCAAGACTATCGAATCAAACAATCATAACGCAAAGAAAAATTGTAAGATGTAACTATTCACAATAATAATAATATTAATATTAATAATAGTAATAATAATAATTTATTTAACAATTAATCGAAAGTAAATTTGGAGAAATTATTGAAATTGTTATAATGACTATATCACTGCTGTCCCACGGAAAAAAAGCATAAGTGACATTTTTGACGAATTTTAGTTATTTGCGCCATTTGATTCGTCGGAATCTCTTGCATCTCAAGACGTTTTTAATAATTTTTCACCTTATTGCAGCAGTTAACATTAATTAAATTAATATATGAATAAAATCGATGAAAACGAATTTTACTTAGCTCAACCTTGGATTCGAAATGAAAGAAAAAAAAAGCGTAAAAACGTCACAAAATCATGAAAAATGCTCTTACACTTTTTTTCGAGTTTATTGATTTCTTTTCGCGTGAAATGGTTAGATCATCTCTCATTAAAGACCCAAGGTCAATTTTCATCATTTTTTTGACACAAATAAGTAGTTTTTGGCGNTTACATTAACTTTTACCGAGTTACTTTTTTTTTTCTTTTTTTTTTTTTTACAAATAGATTCGTGCTCAAGCGTACTCGCCAAAAGTCTTGAGAAATTAAATTAATATATGAATAAAATCGATGAAAACGAATTTTACTTAGCTCAACCTTGGATTCGAAATGAAAAAAAAGCGTAAAAACGTCACAAAATCATGAAAAATGCTCTTACACTTTTTTTCGAGTTTATTGATTTCTTTTCGCGTGAAATGGTTAGATCATCTCTCATTAAAGACCCAAGGTCAATTTTCATCATTTTTTTGACACAAATAAGTAGTTTTTGGCGATTTTCGCAATTCGACACTGACTGTACCGTATACGCTTTTTTCCTGATGGGGCGGCAGATCAGTCAAACATATTTTCAGTAAAATAATGTTCATGTATAGGTGATTGTGATGATAAAAAACTTATATATCAAAGCGAAGAAATACAATAAACGCGACCTTGGCAACTTCCAAACAATCAGTGTCAATATCATGAGATGTATTTGCTTTGCCAAATAACAAACATATAGATCTCAGTTGTGGATGGTGTCCTGCCACGCATAATATATTTAAAAAATGTGTATTTACATACATGTTATATTATATACGATACCTAATGTATTTTTCTATGATTTTACGCTGATGTACCTATAATACGTATACCTACTTAAAATAATCAAGTGATCGATATTTTTTTAATTAGTTAGAATTTTCAGCTCAATTTACGATGAAAGATTGTAGTTTAGTTGACGAATATTTTTTATATTCAGAATTTTGTCGCACACGAGACAAATCCTTCTGTATTGTAAATATATATGTGTATATATCACATACGTGTGATAAGTTATACACAAATCAAACATAATCATCGGATAAACTTGCAACAATGTACCTTGAAACAACATCCAACACATATTTTAAGGAACATTCCACAACTGGGATCACAATAAATATAATCCATTAGCAGCTGCTGGTCAGTTATTATAACAAAAATAATTATTACAAATACTTGAGACAAAAAAAAAAAAAAATTAGAATTTCTACACAGCGGTGAATGAGTATTAAAAACCTTTTTTTTATTTGTCAGTATTTGGTTTGGGTATACTAGATTACGTCGTACTCATGTTTATCAGAAAATTTATGTTTCATTGGATGTAACGATGAAAAAAGAAAATAATAAAATATTCAAGCATAAATAATGTTTTCAACAGAAAAAAAACATAATATCTGTGTACAAGAGATGTATTTATTCATTAAGATACTTGAACCTTACAAAAATTATTGTTAGATGATATCTGTTATAGTTATAAAAAGTATTTTAAATTGTGGAAACAAAGATAATAAAAGAAAGGAAGTCCAGTGACAAAAAATGACAAAACACGTCTAATTGCGAGAAAGATGAATATATCTGTGTGTAAATAAATGTACCATCTTTTCCATCGGCCTAAGTCAAAATGAAGTAGTGAAAAAAAACAAATGATCCTTTGTTAAGTAATCGTCATGTCAGCAACGATCTCGAAAAATATGTTTTACAAAATAAAAAAGCAACGTATCCGTCAAATGTACCATTTAGCAATAAAGGAAAAAATTTTGTGATCTTTTGTGCAATTGTTGAACGGGTGATTATGGTTAAATGCATATTTTATTATAATTACATGTCTCTTCATTTGATGCGTTTTCTCGTTTTCATTCATTTGTTTTTAGCGTTATTAAACAAATAATTTTATTGACTCTAGTTAATTAATGTGTAGATAAATAAACAAAAGTTCTACAAAACTATTGAAGAACTCCCATTACAATAAGAGAATTGAATCTCAAATCATAAAAATTGTGAGCATAAAATAAATCAGTACATGACAATCGTCTGATCGTGATGCAAGATTAGCAATTCTCTAAGAGAAAAAAAAATGTTTTCCTCAATGTTGGTGGTGTGTATGAAGAGGACGTGCGATAACGAGTAAAGTAAGGAAACTAATATCTAATGTGTTAAGGAAAATAATATTATGCAGATTAATTAAGTGACTATGATTTTTGTAGATCGCAGTACGTATTTCCGTAAATAACATCATACAAACACTTTTCACGATCAAAGTGTAACGAAAACCGTGTAATGCAAAAAATACAATACCATATTAAATTACACGTATTTATAGTTAATAAACACGTACATTACTTTTAGAAATACATTTTTTCATACAGTAAATCTTGTTGAAAAATAATATCTATGTTTAAAAAACCTAAATAAATGGTACACCCACATGTAAATAATGAATTTTCTATGTGCGCGGCGGGTTCCGTGCAAAATTATATGTATGAGAGGCCAAATTTCTTCCGAAAACTATTTCACGTTAACCCATAGTAAGAAAAAAAAAAAAAAAAAAAAAAAAAAAAAAAAAAAAAAAAAAAAAAAAAAAAAAAAAGAAACAATAAAATCAGAGACATAAAATTTTCAATGTTGAATGTGTTCTGCTACTCGAATTATAAAAATATAGCAGTCAAACTTAATAAAAAGTCGAATACACGATTACTTCATTTATTTCAATGATTTATCCAGATCATTTATTTTAATTTACTTAGAATAATAAGTAATGATTTGAAATATGTACACAATAATCATTTTCATGCTGCCTAAAACAGTGGTTTTTTTATATAATGAATAACATAGAAATAAAAACGGTAAGTTGTTATATACAAAGGTACAGATATATGACTTTTTTACATTAACTTTTACCGAGTTACTTTTTTTTTTCTTTTTTTTTTTTTTACAAATAGATTCGTGCTCAAGCGTACTCGCCAAAAGTCTTGAGAAAAAATATTCAACATCACTTAACTTAGTCGTTTGGTCTATCCGTTATAGCATGAAAGCTAAGATTCTTTTGCTTCCTGAAGAATCTTGTTTATTTGTTCCAAAACATTGGCAACATGTTTCATTAAATCGATACCAGATAGTGATTTTGATCGCAACGTTAGACCGTAACATTTTTTGTACAAGGCAGCGTTATTATCACGTCTGAAATAAAATTAATATTTGATTAGTACAATTTTTACCATCGATACAATTAATGTAAAAAGCTTAAAAACAAGAGCGCTTACTCTTTGTTTTGATTATTTGTATTTTTATTGAGATGCAATTTAGTCAGGGATAGAAGGACAAATTGCACACGCTGCTCCAGCAACACAATGAGACCTTCCTCGTCTTCCACCAATTTTTTTTCCGTCCTCTTTTCCTCCGACTCTCCATTCTTTTCTTTGTTATCACCACCACTTTTTTCCTGTTTATCCAACTTTTTATTTTTAGTTTCGGTCTCTGTGTTATTGACTGCGCTCTTATGACGTTCCACTATTATGTCAATCATGGGCTTGCTTTGTATTATCAGCTCCAAACAGGTTTGGTAGGCCTTAAATTTGCTATTGTAAGAACTCATAGCTGCAAATGAGATAAAAATCATGAGTCATTCAAGAAACCCAAACAAAAGAAACTTGAATTTAAAGGAGATACTGACATTGCGCCTGAAACTCAGCCAGAGCTACACGCTCCAACTGTACAGTTAGAAACTCAGCAGTCTGTTCTAGGGCAAGAAGTAGCTTTGCAGCTTTCTCGTAGTATAATTTTGACAATTGTAAGCTCTTCTTGCGCTTGGCATTCTCGTCTTGACTGTTAATGTCATCTCTGTAGATCTTGTGGTAAAGAGATGCCAGTCGATGCTGTATAGTAGCGGCACGAAACTGATAGACTGGCTGCCGGTGGCCGGGAGTCTCCGTGTCGCAGTATTTCAAAGCTTTCTGAAAGATCTCCACTACTTCGCGCTCCAGCTCTTCTTCGCTCTGAAAATAACAAATGTATTTGAAAACGGAACAATCAAGAATTCCTTGAGTCAAAGTAAAATATGGTTTGCCATACTTTGGGGCCAACATTGGGAAAGTCTTGTAGCTGGGTGGCCATGGTAAACAGTGTGGTCGACATGTCCCAATTGACGCTGTCCCAGATCGGAGCATTCGTCTCCCGCGTGCCCAGTACCTGTATAGCTTTCTGGTAACTAGTCAGTGCTTTGTTGTAAAAGTGTCTTTCGCGAGAGGGATTTTTTCTGTTGATGTAAGCGCACACACGCATCAGCCTGCCAGTATTAGAGTGCAGGAGAGCAAGATTCGCCTCGTCGTGAACAGTCTCGAAGGCCTTGATACCCGCTTCGAAATGCATGAGTGAGCGCTTCAAGGGCGACATTGAGTCCGCGGTCGCAACATCCACGTCAGTTGTTTCGTCTAGACAAGCTGAAAACGTGCACCTTTTTGATTGTCTTGACATTCATATGTACATGCATTTAATTGTTTTTGCATACCATTATCCTGATTCATGTACAAAACACCGAGCTCGTTATGGATATTTCCCAATCGACGTAAAAGATTGTTCCTGTCTGCTTCCAGAGGTTCTAGCAACAGAGCCTTTTCGTAACATTTGTAAGAGGCGACAAGAGTAACTTCCAAAGATTCAAAATGCTCCGGCAGTATTTCAGCTCCATCTGAAATGACGTAACGTTTGACTAACTGATGGAAAAAAAAGGAAGTAACCATCTGATTACAAACTTACTCATGTCTAGTCCCTCCATAGTGAAAATAACATCAGTAATAGAGTTCTCTATGACATTTTTAGTCTCGTAATCATTCTTGTGTTTGTCAACATTTGTCCAATCCTGAACAGTCATGAAGCAACAATCGCCAGCCCTTCCTAACAAATAACTGATCAGTTTATCATTCTTCAGACCACAGACCAACTCGAGCATCTTTTGACAACGAAGCACAGCTAGTATGTAACGCAACGTTGAACCGTAACGCTTGTTCTGGTACTCGTATTCCGCCAATACAACGAACGCCAACGATGCTTTCTCATAGAGAAGGATCTTGAGGTGAGTCTGCCAACTACGATTATCGTCCTTCTGAGGCGCCTGCCACAATGGTATCGTTTGCGATTGTCCTTTGCAAAGTAGAGCTTTAGAACCCGCGTCTTCCTCAACGGCTGGGTTACTGTTTATCTGCTTGGTTGCGATCTTTTTTTTCTTCTGCTTGCTTCGTTTTTTATTATTGGGACTGCTATCTACACTGGAATTATCTACGCTTACGGTCTCACCGTTTAACGGTGCGTAAGGCATAGGGATCGCCTTAAAAGGCTTGGCCATGTTAACGTTGGCCTCCTCTTCTTGGATCTTTTCTTTCTCTAACTTCTCCTTGGTCTTATCGTCACCCGTCTCTATAGGGAAATACTTGAGACACTCAAGTCCTTGGGATACGTGTTCCAGTGCGCTGTGACAGCGTTCCTCAATCGTACCTGTTACCGGTGGTGGCTTGAACTTGAACTCTTCGGAATCTTGGTCTTTTAAGTGATGTTCTTTAACTGGGGGGGAAAAAATGGCGATAAATTTTTATGAATTATTCACACAATCATCTTTCAATCGATCTCACTGGTAAACTTACTGTTGGCTAGAGTTAAACTCTTGATGGCAGCATTTAGATCCAGCTCGACTTTTTCGTCGCTCTTTTCGCTCTGGGCGCTGCTCACGCCGCACTCGCTCTGCGCATCATCGTCTTCACCCAGATCGAGCAAATTCGGATTAGCTGGATCCGTATCTGCTGGTACATACAAATCTGCCAACATGTAGTGTGCCGAGGTTACGATCTGCGGGTATTTTTCTTTAGGCAGCAGCTGGATGCAATGTTTCAATAACATCCTAATTGTGCCGCAATTGCGTTTGTAATCCGAAAAATTTTTCATGTTTCGAGCTACGCGATAGAGCAGCATGGCAACGGGAACTGTAAACGGATTCTGACTCTTGTCCTCTGCTATGTCGCTGCAGAGCGACGTTAAATCGTACAACTTGACTACATCGTCATTCTTACCTGAAACAAAGGTGTGTTAAGCAGTTGATTAAAATTCCTAAATCGTTTTAAAATATAAACTCACCTTTGAACAACCAGTACGTATGTCCGGCCTTTGTGGCATTGTTCTTTAAAAAGCTCAGTATATTTTGAGCGATATCTCTGATCACTTTAGGACTGAACTTTGCATCATCTATATTTGGGAGATCTTCGGTTTTGAACAACTCATACTTTTGAACTATGCCATCGAGGTGGTAGCACATGACCAATTCTGGCACATTGCACATGAGATTGTCGAGCCAGTAATCTATGCCAGTCAAGACATTGATTGGTTTTGACGCATCACGTAGTCTCAAGCTTATGCAAGGATGAGTTTGTCCACCAAATATCGGCATGTCAGTACCTATCAACATCTGAATGTTTTCAAAAGTCCACACGACATTTCTGGCAAAACTGTGGTTATACTGTGGATCCGGCAGTTTTTCCTCTTGAGATGGCTCTGGCAATGAACTATCCAGTTTGTGTTCAACCGGAAAAGAAGGCTTTTCGTCGTCATGCTCCTGTTTATCGGTAAGCAGCAAGGAGTGGTAAAAAAATTTCGAAATCAAATTTTTTTGCTGGAGAGCATTTCTGCTGTTTGCCTTTGGATAGAGTCGTTTTTCTTTATCACCCAAATTGTGAAAAACGTGCTCGTAGAAAAACTTTTTCAGCCACTCCCAGTCATTCTCTGCTTGTCTCAGCAAATACTTGTGAATATCAAAGTCATCGAGCAACAGTGTATTTTCTATCCTGTGTACCATCATTGATATAGTCCCGTCACTATAGGGTATCTTTAGGAGTTTTTTTATGTTTTCTGCATCTGAGACCACATCTACCTCTCCAACGCAGTCGGGGAACATGTGAGCCATGCGAAAACTGGAAAATCCAGTGTTTCTGGACCACACGTTTTGCAACCCATAACTTTCCGCTGAGGTGCTCAGCCAGTTGCTGGGTGGATGATTCAAGTCCGTGTTGCATTGTAGCTGAGCAAATGTTGCTGGAGTTGAAACTGCAGAATACTTTACGACAGCGTTCGACTTGACGGGTTTTTTTGGAGACTCGGATGGTGGTGTATCTGATGTCTGGAATACAAATCCACATGTTTCAAATTTTTTGTTTCTTATTTTCAACTCTATGCCAAATGCATTTGGACTATTAGTAATGAAAAAAGAAATCTATGAATGAAAAAAAAAAATTAACGTAACCGTTGCCTTTAACAAAGTTATTGTACGTGATTTGAAAACAATCGTTTGATCATTAGTGTAACTCATATAACCTACTTGCATCGTGGAAATGTCTAGAAAGAAAAACAATTTTAAAAACAGACTCTAAATCCAATTTACCGCTTCCGAAGTGATTTCGGAGTTCTCCGTCATTATATCCATCAAATAAGATCACTTTAAATGATAAATCAAGTATCCTTTATCATTTTAGATCGCGGACTAAATCACACGATCCTTTTAGGGTATATACGCGCCTCTTCGGCACACACGTATACGTTAATATAAAAATACAACTCTTCCTAGAAAGTGCAAGAACTGTTGTTCAATTCAGTTCAGTTTAGCGTTCAGAGTAAACTGATAGGTAGGTATGACTAAAAAATCATACTCATAAGAATGTTATGCATCACACACATATGTGTATAAACGTGTGGTGAACGTAAAAAAAAATACAAAAATCTCTCATGTGATAAAGCAGATTTTAAACTTTTGTACATTACCCTATAAGGGTAAGTGGATAAATAAATCATATTTTATTTTTAAAGAATAAAAATACATACCCTAAGTAATTTATTTAGTCTCAAGAATATATTTTAAACAATCAAGGGCAATAATTCTAAATTTGGGTTTGAAAGATTTGAAATAATCAAATTACCACCAACTCTACTCTTACCAACTGATATCCAACGTGGCGCGACCGAGCGACTTCCACGAGTCGTGGGAGTACAGTGCCGCAACAAACGCATCTTTATCTCGACGTGTCGTGTACCTCCAGCTGTTTCCCACTTGCTTAGGTGTGTTTTTTAAATTCTACTTCATACAACAAAAAAATATCCAAAAGTATAAAAAACCAGATTTCTTTTTAGAATGAAATCGTTTGCCGTAATCTTCTGCTTCGCCCTGGCGGTGGCTTTGGCTGTGGCCGATACCTGCTCCAAGCCAGAAGTCACTGCGTCCGCTTACGTTACCGAAGATGCGACAGTTTTGACTATGGTCGCCTTCACCACGCAATTTACTCTCAAATGTTCTAACGGAGTCAAGGGTATTTCTCTGTATGCCGAAGTCGAGGGCAAATCACTGCCAGCTGTAAAGCTCAGCTCCGACAACAAGTACCAGGTACGTTGGAGTTTGAAAACTTATCTGATAATGTTATCCAATCAGGAAATTTATAAGTTTGTTCTATTACTTGCTAGAATGACCATTGAGCATTTACTACTCACCTTTGAATTTTAAAGCTTAATTGATGATTGACAAATTATGTTCAAGGTTTCTTGGACTGATGACATCAAGAAGGCAAGATCAGGTGATTACAATGTCAACCTTTATGACGAAGAGAGCTATTCAGCTATCCGTAAGGCTATCAGAAACGGAGAAGATCCAAGCAGTATCAAGCCCTTGGCTGTTGTGGTGCTGAATAACCCAGGAGTTTACACTGGACCCTGGATCAACTCTGAACTGTTAGCTGCCCTCCTTGCTGCTCTCGTTTCATATGCGGCTTTTTTTGCTAAATCTAAACTTTTAGTGTAAAAAAAAAAAAAAAAACTAGGCCTTTATGTTTTGTAAAAAAATTTTTTTAAGTAAATTATAAATAACGTATAAATGACGAAAGTTTGTACGAGGCAAGATCCTCTCAAAGAGAATCTTATGAATAAAAAAACTTGTTATACAAAAATTGTATTTTTTATTAATACAACTCTTTAGGTGGCAAATTACCAAACAAAAATTTCCAAGAAGGTGGAAATTTCAATTTACACAAATTGTTATCGTGAACTGGAATAATCTTTAGCCACTGATTTGAATAGTTGATCAGCTCGCAAGCATCCGGTATGTTATCACCTTCCGAACAAAACTTAAGTATCACTGTGCAAGGAACATTTTCCTTCTGTAGAAGATCGAACATAGTTTTGGCAAAACCACCCCCGTGAATCTGCAAAATCGACTGACCACTGAATTCATCTTGTTTCGGCTCCAAAGTTATCCAAGACAACGCATCAAACTGTTTGCCACATTCCGCAGTTACGTTTTCAGTGGCCAAATAACGAAATGGAACTGTCCTCAACTCTTTGTCCCTTTTTTCGTGCCCAAAACTACTCGTCAAAATGATCACCTAAAAAATAAAACCGCCCCAAAATAACAAACAAATACTTACTTCTGGCGCTAGTAAAAAAAACTGAAAAAGGTAGGTGTAGTCTTACCCTTGAAATCTTGCGGTCCGTCACGAAATTCAGCACCTCGTGAAAAAAACTCGTTGGCCTTCTCACGAGCGGCGACCTTATCTGCACCGCGACGATTTTACTCTCGTGACTGACGTAAACATCCACGGCCGTGCAAATATCCTCGCTGCTCTCGTCGTAAGGATCCGACCCCGCGAGTGGGATGAAACAGTCGTCGTAGATCCGACCCACCCGGCACATGCCCAGCGTCGAGATCAACAGGTCGACGCTCAATTGGCCGACGTTGCCTACGGACACCGAGGGCACGGCCAACGTGTAACCCTCCACCTTCAGATCTTCCTGGACTTTTAACATTTTTTCAATGGAAATTTTGTGTTTTTCACGAGTCACGCTGCCTCTCGTGTTTTCTATAACTTGCAGTTTTGACAACACACTGCTGGACTACACCGCGCATATATGCGGCTGTTTGTTTTGTTGTGGTCCGTTCGAATCTCGTGTTTTCGTGACTAAGTGCGTTACTGTCGCGATTGGTTTTCTTCGAAGTTGTTGAAAAGCTTTTTGTTGTTTAGTGCGTAGTTAAGTCTTTACGGATAAAGAAAACGCTTTTGTAATGCACGTGAGTGCTCTTTGGTTTCGAGTTTTATTAGTGTTTATTCAAAAGTCAACTTTATTTAGTTCAAAATGACATGCTGTGACAGTGACAAAGCGCCAGCGAAACCGTTAACCTACAAGTAAAAATAGAACGCGAAATTTTCAAAAGGATTTTAGCTAGCCAAGTAACGTGTTTTTTTTTATGTAAAACAATAGATTATGATGGTTAGACAAGCAATTTGGGCTCATTTGTTTGAGGAATCATTAATATTTCATTCAACGTGCAAAACTGACGAGACATGTAAGTACAAATATGTATACCTAATATATGTATTTAAAAAATTCAACAGTACAATAAATTTTGTAAACAATGTGATTTTCATAAAATAGTTCATAACTTTTGCAAAAGAATCCTATCGGTGAACAAAGGCACATCGCTTTCTCTGAACCAAGCATGCAAAGTAGGATGCATTTCCATAGACAACACCTTTTTGAGTTGTGCATCTGGAATTATGCACCTGAAATACATCACAGTAATTAAAACTACATATTTTTTGCAATACAATAACTAACAGCTTTTTAAGATTTCAACGTACCTCACTCTATTGTTTATACAGTCTGCTTTGACGTATTCATATCTAAGCAGTGAGAAAATATATCTTATGTATTTTGCATCCATATTATTGTTATCACTTTCATAAGGCGTATAATTATTTATTTTATTCAAGTATCCTTGCGTCAATATTGGCACAATGTAATTGACTTGCTGAAAACATTCTTCCACAAATTTTTCAGCTCCACTGAAAATGTGTTTCTCTTGCTCTTGTAAGATGATTACTCCAATCTTAGGATCTGCCGATCTAAAAACTTTTGCGATTTTTTCTACTGTACTCTTTCCATCCTCCGCGAATGTAAGCATGATTATGCTGCCATATTTTATATTTCTCACTTTTGAATTAGCAATATTATTTTTACTGTCGTTACTGGTTATTCTGACAGTTTCTTGATTTGAGTAGGTATCTTTTTTTACAATTGGACTGAGTACCAATGGAGCTTTTGGTATTGAGTTTGGTTGGTACATGCCATTTTTCATCTCTACAAATAGTAAATTTAATTTTACTTGTTAATTGTGAATTTTAGTAGAAGAAATTACCTTGATTTTTAGTTATGTCCTTAACAAATTCATTAAAATAACTAGCCAATCTGTTGATAACATCTAATCTTTCAAGTTTTTGCAGTGCTAAGTATATTTTATCTATGGTAGCATCATCATTTTGAATGAATGCCAACAAAGTATAGTATGTAGGATCTTGTAAACCTTTGAAATCATAATCAATGCACTGAAACAAACATATTAGCTTTTATTAATGTAATTATTATTATTTGTATCAGGAATAATTTTTAAACTAGTCCCCAAAACGACTTACCCGTATTTGTTCATTGAGTAAACCAAGATGAGCAGCAAACATTTGCCAATCCCCATAAATTTTACCTGATGCCGTTGCACTTACAAAAAGGCACAATTTTTGCAGCAACTGTCTACCCTCGTTTTCAAAAAGATAAGCTGCATGAATTTTTGATGCTACAGCATCCAAAATTACAGTTTCTAAAGCTTGGTGCCTCAGAGCTTCTTTTCTGAGCTTTTCAAGCTCTGGATCGAGATTTCTAAAAACCAATTTTAGTTTATGTAAAATGACAACAAGGAAAAATTTGTGTATACTCACTTTGCATACATCACTTGTGATAAATCACGTTCACCTATGTAATATTATTTCTTTCTCCCTGTAAGGTTTTCTGGAGAAAAGTATTTTTTTCCATACATCCCAAAATATTGATAAATCTTAAACACTAAAACTAATTGCTTAAGAGAGGTAAACACAGTTGTTTACAACATTCAGCTGTCACAAATGGCAACCATCCCCTCCCTCCTACTTATAAATGTAGTAAAAAAATCAGCGGGAACAAATACAATTTTCAAAGACATAGTCATTATTTATTTTATTTTTATTAAAGAAACGAAAGTGGCCCTAAAATATATACAGAATAATAGTCTGAATACAGTGATATACAATTAATGTGAAGTATGCACGTGCATGTAGACTAGAGAAGCATAAGTACAATTAAATATTAAGATAATAAAATAATAATAATATAATATTAATATGATATAACATATTTATAAAGCATCTTATTTTATCATAATGATGTAAGAGATAATAATATTGTATACTGAATTTTAAATTTAATTAAAATAAGAATTAAATAATAAAGGCCTAACGAAAAAGCGATTGTAGAATATAGAGATCCAATCTAAGTATGCTAGGTGTAGCGAAAATAATGAGATCATTTTTAAATTGATGTATAGGCATTACGTCACAAGAACTTAATTCAGTAGGAAGCTTGTTCCGTAAGACGTACTTAGTCTAAATGCAATGCTTTTAAAATGGCATTGTTGTAGTATAACTGTTATATTCAACTACTATACGATTTTTTTTTTTTTTAATATTTTTAAAAAGCGATCACGATTACTCACCAAAACAAAATGTATAACGTAAATTACGAAATTTGGGGAAACAAATTAATTATTGTTCATCGAACAAAAATACTCATTGCGTAATTACAATAATTCATCATGAAATGTCAGCAAAGCGACAAATAATACTTAAATTAGTACAGCTTGCCAAGTTAGTTTTATGAATCTTCGAAGAAGACAGTCTGGTTTAGCTCCTTATACCCTAAAGACCTTTGATATTTTCAAATGCCTACATTATTTTGATTGTTCAAATTTTATTTTATTTTTTTTTTGCTTCCATTATAANAAAAAAAACCTATATCTTTTAATTCTTGCTTTTTTTTCAAAATCTTTCAAACTTATACTATATTAAGCCTTGGCGACATAAACGAATTTTTTGAAAGCTTGAAAGGCCATCTTCAGTCATCATTAAAAAAAAGTACTAAGTAAGAGTAAAATATTAATTTCTCGTTATTTCGTTGAAAAAAATCCGTGGTAACTAGTGATAGTGTTCTATTAGTCTATCAGCTGCCTTCCATCCGGAACCGATCGCCCCATCGACGGTGGAAAAAATATAACAATAAAATTTTTCACAATTAATTGAAGAGATGTACTTCAATCAACAGGTCAGCAGCGTCAGCGCCATCCTGTATCTATAAAATTTAATTATTCCAGTGTCCGACTCCGAATGTGCCCCTTTAATATCATACAGTACTTGGCAAGTATCGTGTATAACCACACTCGAACGGTTCATATCAAGACAAAAAAAATGTTTGAAAATCATTTTTTATCCGTCATTAACAACCACAAATCCAACTCGTCCCTGAACTCGGCTTCCTGGCAATCGACTGTCATAAAAAAAAAAAAAACCAGTACATTATTTCATTCATGATTGATTCTTTATTAAATCACTGTGCCAATGACTGGGTTTACAATGTTTTATGCGTTACCATTTTTTTGTTAGTTTGATGTGTTCCTTTAGTAAATAGTGCATATCAAATCTGTGATTCTCATCCTGTGAATGATTATTAAGATTTTCTCTTAAACATACTAGCCAATTGTGTATCGTAGATTAAACCATGGAGGGTGTCGGTAGGAACAGTTCAAACGCTTTCACAGAAATAACCGGAGTAGTGATCGTAGGAGCTGGGATTGCTGGCTTGGGAGCTGCCAGAACTCTTGAACAATCAAACTTCAAAGACTATGTTCTACTTGAAGGTAAAATTATCCATTGTTTGATTGGAAGTAACGTGATTTCATTTGAGCATGATTTTCAGCACAATCACAAGTGGGAGGCAGAATATGTTCAGTTTCATGGAATGGAGGGGATGGCTGGTTGGAAAAAGGTGCTCAATTTTTACACGGCACCGAAAGTCCACTGGGAAAACTGATTCTAGAAAAAGGTTTGCTTTCTGATGAGGACGGGTCAGAGGGTCAAGGCTTATTTTACAATGAAGATGGCATCGCCCTGAAGGGAAAAGTTGTTACAGAAGTCAGTGACCACATAAAAAATATTTTAGAGGATTGCGAGGTTTATTCAGAATTCCATGTTTCGCAAAATCGAGCCAAGGATAATATTGGCCAAGTTTTGAGACGCAAGTTCAAAGAACTACTTTTACCGAGAAATACACCGGAACCTTTAAAATCAACCAGAGAGGAGTTATTCGATTGGAACGTTAAATTTATTGTTATCGACAATGCGTGCACGTCACTCAATGAACTTTCAGTAGAAAGATGGGGAGATTACAAAGTAAGAAAAACAAAATTTTCTTTTATATCTGCAACAGGGTGTCCACTGTACCTGGAAATCTAGAAGAAAAAAAAAAAATTTATCAAAATATAAATTTTTTTTAAAATCTCTTGTTGAAAAACGATATATTGCACGTGATGAAGTGAAATTGTCACTAATTGGTAGTCTCGTTCGCGTAAAATTTTTATTATTAAATATTTTTTATACGTGTGAGAAAAAACCATGTAACAAAATACTGAAGTTTGAGTAGTTTAATTAAGTAAAATTCCAATATACCGCTAACTAACTCCAATTCAGCGTAACAGTATAGCACAATAAAAACCTTCCGAAAAAATAAAAATTGACCCAAAGAATTTCTGAAAAGTTAGTCAATTTGGCTTCAGAGATCTAGTGAGCACCCTATGCATACTTAAATCTCATAAATTGTGCAATGTTGAAATAAAATTTCAATTTACAGGCTGTTAATGGTCCAGAATATGGAATTTTCAATACCCACTATGGATCAGTCGTAGAATCTATTGCAGGAGAATTGACTCAAGAGAACATCAGACTTGAGTGTCCAGTTAAGAGGGTTGAGTGGGACAACAAAGTTACTTCGGAAAATGAAAAAGCGGTAAAAATAACGTTAAAGAGCGGCAAAACGATAATGGCCGACTGCGCCATTGTTACCTGTTCGTTGGGCTACCTAAAAGAAAACCACTATAAATTATTCAGTCCTCCGTTACCTCAGTGTTACACCACCGCGATAACCAGTATGGGATTTGGCGTGATAAATAAAGTCTTTCTTGATTTTGAGGAGCCCTGGTGGGAACCAAAAACAAAAGGCTTTCAATTCCTATGGAGTGGAGATAAAGAGGAAGATTCCCTTAGAAACTATACCGTCAAGAACAAATTGCCATCCTGGTTGCGCGATCTTACGGGTTTCGACGTTGTCCCGACGCACCGAGCGGTACTTCTCGGGTGGATCGGGGGAAAAGGTGCTGAGATTGTCGAGACGCTCAATGAAGAAGAGATTATTAAAGACTGTGCTCAGCTGCTTAGGTATTTCGTTAAGGACGCCTCTATACCTGAAGCCAGCAGGTGTCTTAGGACTTGCTGGGGAAGCAATGAATACGTAAGGGGCGCTTACTGTCACATAACAAAGAAGTGTGACGACTGCGGTGCTTCACCAAGTGTCTTGGCCGAGCCTATTTGTAGGAAAATTCAATGCAATGACGGAATTGAGGTAACTGGTGTAAAATAATTTTTTTTTTTTTGTATACGTGGTTTTTAACATTTTCAAATAACTTTTTTTTTTCATTAACAGAAGCGTCTTCCTATTTTACTGCTAGCTGGAGAGGCTACACATCCACATCATTACTCCACAACTCACGGAGCTTATGATACTGGGGTGAAACAAGCTCAAATTTTTCTACGTGACCATCATCTGATGTATTAGATTTTTTACCAAGATTTTTAAGAAAAAAATCTTATGTATATGATTGTCACACGTTGTTGTAATAATTTTTAGAATCAATTGAATAAAAAAAACCTATATCTTTTAATTCTTGCTTTTTTTTCAAAATCTTTCAAACTTATACTATATTAAGCCTTGGCGACATAAACGAATTTTTTGAAAGCTTGAAAGGCCATCTTCAGTCATCATTAAAAAAAAGTACTAAGTAAGAGTAAAATATTAATTTCTCGTTATTTCGTTGAAAAAAATCCGTGGTAACTAGTGATAGTGTTCTATTAGTCTATCAGCTGCCTTCCATCCGGAACCGATCGCCCCATCGACGGTGGAAAATCTCGTTCTCGATGTAGCTTCTCCAGCGAACAAAATCCTCTGCAACAGAGTAATTTGATTTTAGTAAGTATTCAGTAATTATTGAATCACCTAATTTTCTTCACCGACCGGTTTCTCGCTAGTTATTGGTTCTTCTAGCATCGTCGAGTAAACCTTCCGTCTCTGCGATTCAACGCTACGGTAACTGTAAGTCCCTCGAAAATGTGGATTGCTGTACCACTGGGTTCTAACCATCGCCACGGGTTCGGTCACGTTGTAAGTTTTGTCCAGAAAACGATGAAGATTTTCCACCGCGTGCTCGAATACCTTGTTTTCCGAAAGTTCTTCCATCATTTTTACGTACTCACCCGTTATCCACAATGTTAACAGTTTCGGTTTGTGCTCAACCTTTATCGCTCCATAGATCCCGAGGACCCATTTCTTTTCAAGCTAAAACACTCGAGTACCATGTATTTATCAAAAACGCTTTTCGTTACTTTGATGTTAAATATCAATTAGATATGATTTACATCGGCTTCAATCTTCTTTCGGTCTTCGTCATTCCACACGAAAGCGAATTCGAAAACCTCCTCCTCGCCTTTCGTCCAAAACGGATGGTCAAACAAAAAGTAGATTTTCGCTACTTTGCCGAAACCAATACCCTGAATAGTTGCACACCGTGAATATTTATTTGAAAATCCGTTGAAAGAAAAATCGAAACTTAGAATATACCTCAATAGCTGCGATTTTTTGATCGGACAGTCGAGGAGTGAAAAGCTTTTTATGTTTCTCCTTTAAGACTCCCAGTGACACTGTAACAATGACATGATCGGCTTCGTACTGTTGTCCGTTTTTTGTGGTTATTAAAATTGATGGACTTCCTTCTTCGTCACTCGAATAATTAATTGATATTACTTCGGTGTTTAGTATCGTGTTGTTTCGCACTGGCAATTCTTTTTCAGGATCAGGATAACGTTTCTGCGACCCAACATTACATAGATGTACGTATTATGTTTGTCGTGTCGTTTTAGAATTAGGGATTGTTTGATATTACCATTAGTATATCGAGAATCGTCGAGTATCCTCGCTCTTTCCAGTTAACCGACTGGTCGCCTTCGCACACCTTGTATCCACCTTCGTCAATGGCGGAAATGTCGTTCCAGGAATCTGCCGAATCGAAACTTATTCTTGACAGTTCCATGTTGTTCAAGTACTTTTTCTTTTCCTTCGTAATCTCCGGATTGTTCTTAAATTTTTCTTCGAACCTTAAATATTTTTAAAATATCACAATATCATATGGTTTTTTTTTTTAATTTCTACGGTTGTTTTTGATACTACATTTTTTCTACATATTCACCGACTGATTCGAAGCCTGACGTGTTGCTGTGAAATTCAATGTCATAAACGTATTTTCCCTCAAAGATTGTGAGATTTTCTGACAAGTCGCTATTTAACTGATTTCCAAGAGAATCGAAGAATTTTTGTTTAAATTTCAAATCGCTCGTTGCCTCAACCAAATCGTACTTGTTGGCTAAATTGTAGGCCACATTGTTCTTTTGTCCATGAATCCATTGTCCGCCAAGATCGACGGAATAATTTCCTATGACGTAAGCAAAGACCAAGTCAAGTTTAAATGCTTTTTTTTTTTTTGTGTGTGTGTTATAAGCATTATATTTTTTTAAATGTTATTTTATCTTCCGCAATAGTGTTTTTGCGTTCAACCTTGACTTACGTAAATGTAGAGGTCATGATTTACAAAAGAAATATTGTCGTTCTATATATGCATAAGTTTACAAATCACTGCCTACTAATGATTCTTATTTTAAATACTTGAGCTGTCATTAATCAGCATTCCTTGTAAAAAAGTATTTGGGCAGCATAAAAAATAGTTTACCAAACTTGACGGTGTGGACGCGACCGCCGATACGATCCTCTGCTTCCAAAATCGTCACGTTAGTAAATCCATTTCCAAATAGTTTTGATGCAGCTGAAATTCCTGCTGCACCGCCACCAATGATTATAATTTTCGCGTTTCTTGACGTAGAAATACTTTTACCAACGCTTTCGTTGACATTATTGCAAATTAGTAACAAAATGATTATTGTTAATACTGAAATCTTGAGACCATTTTCCATTTTATCTATAAACCATTGGCTTTCTATAAAATACAGTCAATAAATTTAATATAATTTAACACTGTGTAAATGATATTCTGAGCGTTTCGATTTAAGTAAATCTACTACCGATTTCTTACCAAGTACAATAGTCTTTTCTATGATATATTACTCACTGTCACTCTTTTTAGCAACTATCAGCTGAAACTAGCCAAATTCAACTAGCACGTTTGGCTCTAACTTACATTCTAATTGCAAGCATGGTCACTTCTATGCAGTTTTATTTCAAGATCAGTGAAAAAAAAATAGAATATTACGTTCAATGAGGAAATACATACATGCTATGTAATCGTTTGCTGTGTACAAATATAAAAGTTTCTGTATCGTTGTTTTTTCTAGCTTAATGCTATTTTTGTATGCATTTAATCGTTTTAAGATTATTTGTTTTGTTGATTTAAGTGAAACAAGCTCAAATTTTTCTACGTGACCATCATCTGATGTATTAGATTTTTTACCAAGATTTTTAAGAAAAAAATCTTATGTATATGATTGTCACACGTTGTTGTAATAATTTTTAGAATCAATTGAATAAAAAAAACCTATATCTTTTAATTCTTGCTTTTTTTTCAAAATCTTTCAAACTTATACTATATTAAGCCTTGNAAAGTAAAACAGAACGAAAATTTATTTAACTGCACTCATTTATAGGAAAAAATATGCCATTAATAAATTTGCTTCAACTCTTGGATAGCATAGCTTTCTCTGCCAAGGCATTCCAGTGTGCGCTTTGAGTATACATTGTAATCATTTTATATAAAAAAATTTTAAAATTCTTAGTTTTCGTAGAACAACTATTTTAAAGAGAAAAAAAATTTTGATTCTCTGAATTTAAAATTTTGTCACTTTCTAATACTATCTTCAAATAACTTCAATGCAGCTGTCTCAAATACCTGAAGATCCTGCATCCGCTGTTATAATGCTTGGTTTCATCGTAGAATCATTTATAAAAGCAATTAAGTACATTTATTACAAGCAGCGAAAAATGTTTGTAAACTTTTTTACCTATAAGTTCTTCATTTTTTTCCTGAAGTTCTGAATTTTATGATGAATAATTTTATAAATGCTAGTACGCATTATATCTAATAAACTGCAAAACATGGTTTGATTTAAATGCATTACTCTTGTGTCAACATCGGATGATTTTATCTAATCGAAGGTCAATGAATTTTATTCGTATCTAAACGGGTCAAAAAGAAATAAGTGTTAATTCTTCTTCTGCATTATTCTGCATTGATTATTATTCGTGACTTTAGTGACACCGATAATATTCAAGATTGAGTGAGTATATAGCTAAATGTATGGAAAAAATACTTGAATTTTGTATGTATTGAGTATATTTAAAACTTATGTTGTAAACATATCTAATCTAAGAAAACATTTTTTTTTTCAAGATTTTCAAGTTCTGCATTTGATTTATTGTCTTAAAATATTAAATAAATATGTTATAAAAGTTACTATAGAACTATTTTCTCACAAAAAAAATTTTTTTTTTTTCTAGTTTAGAATATTATAGCAGAGATAAAGAGAAAAATTTTGTTAAAAAGTGTACCAACTTTTTGTATAACATTTTTTTGTAGGAATTCAATTTCTATTATATTATTATTATTATTACATGAATGATGAAATTATAATAAACGTTGCTAACGATGTTTTTGTAAGTATGTATATAACGGAAAAAGTCTACAAATATTGAATTCGACTATTTACATCTAACTTACACATTGTTTTATATTAAAAAATTTAAACCAATCGCCAAAACGGTCAATAACATTTTAATCTTTGAAGGGTAGTCTCTCCTTATAATGCTCTATCAGTCTGTTTGCAGCTTTCCATCCTGAACCAATTGCCCCGTCTACTGTTGACGATCTGATCGTATGCGTAGCTTCACCAGCAAATAATACTGTCTGCAAAACAAAAAAATCTCAAATTAATGGCCATCACTTTTGTTAGTCTTAAAAAAATATAATCTTACGAACCATATTTTGAGGATTCACAGGTTTTTCCAACATTTCAGGGAAAACTTTTTCTTTTTGCGAACTCGTGCTCCGATAGCTGTAAGTTCCCCTGAAATTTCGATTTGAATACCACCTAGTTCTCAGCATAGCAAGGCGTTCGGTCATTTTTAAATTCTTATCGAGAAATTTCCGAAGTACTTCTTGGGTATGATTAAAAACTGTTTCCTCGGGCAGGGCTTCCATAGCCTTGGCATATTTTCCAGTGACCCATAATTCCAATAAATTGGGCTTGTGCTCTACACTCATTGCACTAGATATTCCTAATACCCATGATTTTTCGGTCTGTAAATTAAGCAATGAAAATCAAATTTTTCAAGTTCAATTTATTTTTTTTTTTTGAAAAAAAAAACTCACGTTGTTTTGAATGGATTGTCTGTCAACGTCGTTCCAAAGGAAATTAAATATCAAACACCTGTTGTCACCTAAATTCCAAAATGGTTTATCAAACAAAACGTAAATCTTGGCTACGTTGCCAAAGCCAAGATTCTGGAACAAAAGAAATATATACATATGTATATTACTTCTCTAAGTGTTATCCACGCACAGTATACAATTTATCAAGATATTTTCGCTCACCTCAATGGCCTTGACTTTTTCATTCGGTAATGGAGGTATAAAGAGTGACTTGTGCTTTTCTTTGAGCACTCCTAGAGAAACGGTTACTATGACATGGTCGGCTTCGTACAATTGGCCATTTTCCGTGGTAATCAAGACAGGAGGACCTTCGCTGTTACGTATGTAGTCGATCGCCATAACTGTCGTATTCAACATAGTATGCTTCAAAACCGGTAGTTCCTTTGACGAGTCGGGCAATTTTTTCTTTAAATAACAGAACATTTATAAAAGAATTGAAAAATACTATACGATTTTTTGATGCTTGAGAAAGTTGAACTAACCATTAATATATCAAGTATTGTCGAATACCCTCGATTCTTCCAATTGATCATTTGATCACCTTCGCACTCCTTGTACCCTCCGTCCTCTAAGGACACGTTGTGCCAAGATTCTGCGGATTCCAAACTGTTTCGGAACACTTCGAAATGATGCATGTACTTTGCCTTTTCTCCGTATATTTTAGAATTGTTTTGAAATTGTACATCAAACCTGTACGCCAAAACGTATCATTATTCATATTTTCCTCCTTTTTGTGTCGAACATTTTTTTTTTTTTTTTTATTATGTATAGATTACATTTTATCAATGTATTCTCCAACTGATTTGTACGCAGTAATATTTTCCGGGCCTTCGTCTTCAACAGTGTGCTTGTAATAAAACTTCAAGAGGGTGGTTTCTGTCTCCGCGTCAAGTGGATTTCCCAGCGAGTCGAAGAACTTTTGCGAGAGTCCGTAGTAAGGTTTGTCGGTTTTTTCGAGCAATCCCAAGGGAGCGGCCAATTCGTAAGCTACATTTTCCTTTTCTCCGTGAACCCACTGGCCTCCTAGATCGACCAAGTAGTTGCCTGCGTGTTTAGAGAATAGTTTGAAACACCAACGAAAGTTAAAATTGTGTGTTTTCTTCTTTTCAAATATTGTAGGCGATAAGATTGATGCCTTGGTGAAAAAGATACTTTTTTGGTTTTGAGTTAATACATGATGTTATCTCGATTTTGACTTTTAAAAATATGGTAGTACTTCTATTTTTAATGGATAAAAAGTATCACCTCCAGTGCTGTATTACGCAACAAGTGCGTAAAACAATTAGTGATATTGTATGTAGCATTTTAATTCATTTTATTGTTTATACATTTCGCACAGCTTACGCAAACTAAAAGTAAAAAAGTAAAATAATTTGAATGTTAAATTGAAATTTAAAAGTTTTCTTCCTGCGTACAATACGACGCTTCTTTAACAAGAAAGTAAAACAGAACGAAAATTTATTTAACTGCACTCATTTATAGGAAAAAATATGCCATTAATAAATTTGCTTCAACTCTTGGATAGCATAGCTTTCTCTGCCAAGGCATTCCAGTGTGCTTTGAGTATACATTGTAATCATTTTATATAAAAAAATTTTAAAATGCTTTTTTTTATGCCATTTATAATCTAATTACTTACCAAATTCTACCGTATGAACTCGACCACCAATACGATTTTCAGCTTCTATTATGGTCACATTTTTGAAACCAGCATCAAACAATTTAGATGCGGCCGCAATACCCGATGGTCCTGCGCCAATAATTACAATTCGCGGATGCCGAGGTTTTTGGGGTACAGAAGTATTAGTTGCCGTTAAATTGACCGATAGTTGTTTGATATTAGCCATCGTCGAGTTATTAACTGTAGTTGTATTACTTTCGGAAGCGCTTATTTTGCCATAATTAATTATCAATAACAAACAGACGATAATTTTAAGTGTCCTTACTATCGAATTCATAATGATTCCTTATGCCAAACAAACTTTTAGGGGGAAAAAAGAATGAGAAAAACAAAATCACACAGTCGGTATGCTTTTTTAAAGTAATAGCTGCCCGTCAAAAGCCGTTTGACATATGGGCAAGAATGAGTTATCATCAGACCGTACTCCGCGTAGTGGTACAAAGTTTTTATTCAACACGAGCATCCCGTACATGAAAAGTGCCCTATTCACTGGAGAAAAAACTATTTGTTAAGACGTTAAGAGAGAAACAGAGATATTTTCGCTCTTTCTCTTTCCTTATAAGAGCCACGTAGATCAGAGGCAGCATCAGCAGCATAATCGCTATCATTGGCACGGCAAAGTGGGACTACATGTAGAGTGAGGGGGATAGAGAAATAGATCTTTATGAGCTCGCACGAGTAGTGTAAACCAGTTAAGCAAACCTTCGAATTGAAGATTTGTTGGACTAGGTATAGCTGTTTTGATGTTACACGTGATTTGTTGGCCCACTGAATAAATGCCGAGGACCCGAAAAGTGATGCTGGATCAATGTTGAGTGTTTGTCTTGCTTACAAATTATGATCTGTGTAAATATAATAAAAATAAAAATACCAACGCGGAACAAGGAAAACTTCCTACTGATTTGGATTTTTTTTTTTTTTTCGATAATCGTAAAAACTGGAGAAAAAAAATATTGCACAGAGATTTTTTGGTATTTGTAGAAGTGCAGTTGTTGCGCCACTATCCCTTTTAAAGTATACGGCTTTTCGGTCCAACAGACTCTGGGTGGAAGCATTTCCTAGTTGCATATAGATATCACCGGGTAAAATTTTCGGCGAGTTTTTCGGTGTAGTGAGACCGCCTGGCTGTATCAAGAATATTAATTAATCATTGTTTTTACCCTCTATTATTGTTTGTGCAATACACATGAAATTCAGTATTATTCTTACCAAAATTGAAAAATTTTGTAGATTAAAAAAATTTGATATCAATAATATCAAGACTGCAAAACATGTCTGAACACACAGGCCAATGAGTATGCTTGTACACTTTGTTAATCGTGTAAAATTATGGATCATAATACGATATACATGAAAAATTATGTTTAAGTTAGCTCTTTCAATTTGTGTAATGTAAATAATTTAGATTAATTTTAATGAATTTCATGTCATTGGATATTATTAATGATAACGAAAATAATATTAATTACATATATATATGTATAGTTTATTTGAAAAAAGATAATTATGTACAATAGAATTTTTGTTGTGCTATTTTACTTACAAAAAAGGATACGATTTAAATTTTTCAAAAATTATTATAATCATGTATTAATTATTTTTAAACGCTAAAAATGAGCTTGTAGATTCACTCAGAATTACAGTAAAACAATTTTTTTTAAAAATATTGTATCTACATAAAAAATTCAATAAAAAATGTGATTTTTGTTAAGTCTCAATCATATTTTTTTCGTAAGGAGACAACAATGTTATAACTAAATAGAAATGGCCACATGTATAAAAGTACAGTATTATGCCATATAAAATATAAAATCAGTCTTTTAGAGAGAACCTAAGTTGTGGCTAAGTCAGAAAATTAAGTGACACATAGTGTTTCATAATAATTTTTCTTCGGGAAGATTGTTCAATTACAATTAATTTTACATCGCAAGTTCCTAGCGAACTTTTATTACGAATATTTTCGTCACGAGTATTTATGAATTTTGCAACTTTTGCTGTGTAGACAGTACATCATTAGCATTATCAGCATCATGCTGTTCCTACAATTGGATATCAGCAAAGATACTCGAACAGACCAATAACTTCCTTTGTATACGTTTTTTTAACAATTGAATTATTTACACTTTTGTTTTACGGCGCACGTGATATTTCACTATCCACATAAAATTTCACACTTTTAATGGGTATACGTTATATTAATAAATACGTCATAAAAAAAAATTTTTTTTTTGGCACTAATATTTTTAGTTATATTTGTCAAAGAATTATTTTTTTATAGTAAAAAATACACTTTCCACGATTAAAAATTCCTTGGCACGATTTAATCACACCAAAATACATAATATAAAAACATTACATATATTACAATAGTTGAGTTACGCGAATAAAAATGTGTAGTAAAAAACCTGTAGCCAAAATTTACAAAGTACAATAAAAAAAGACAGGAAGTCACATGATGTTATGAATGTGAAAAAATTGTTGTCACTTCAACAAAGCACTAATGTATTACTTTTAACCATACCATTTTGTATGGTTGACATTGATGTATCTATCTTAGTTTTTATTACACCCAAAGTAGTATTTAGTATTTGATGATACCGCTACTACTATTTGGCTGGTAGATTCAGCTTCATGTCCACCATACTTAGTGAGAATAATATTAACTTCCACCATTTTCTATATGTTATTCTTGAGCGAAAGTAAATACACAAATTAGATTGTTGTAATTGAATCATATCCTACTTTCATAATAATAGTAATTCTGTGAACACTTGCATTTTTATTCTATACTGATAGAATTGTAAATATATACGTATGTTTCTATTAAAAATTTGGATTTTTTTTTTTTTTTTAAGGTACACGTTTTTAAAAAGTACCAAAGCTGCATACCTAAGGTATTGTAATATAGTATTAATATCATCACGATATGATTAGGAATGAGGTCAAACGAACTCAAGGCAATGAAAACAGTCGTTGCTAAAAACGTGCTAGTTGCGCAACAACAAAACTTCTCCCGAGGAGATGGAGAAGGTGACACGCTGCTGCTGCATTGAAGGCTTTTATTAGCTTTTCCTTGCGACACAGCAACGCGCTTATGATCATTCAAATGATATTTTGTTTCAAAAAAAAAAAAAAATGAGATTCTACTCGTAACATATATAGTAAAAAATATGGCTTACCCTGCAATAACTGCTCACTAGCAATCTAGAACTTATGTGTTTAAATAAATATTTTATAACTACAGTTTGACTAATAATTTTAAAATCTCCATACAAGTCATAAAAATATCAAGTTAAGATTTACAATTTTTTTCAGCTATCCGCTCAATCGATTATCATGTGTATGATAATCATACGTATATCATCTAAAGTCATTTACAACGAAGGGTAATTTTACAAATCTTCTCACGGTTCGGTACCGACTATTTCGACCGTACAACCAGATAGAGAAGTAGTGCAAAATCAATGCTCCAGTTGCAGAAATGTAGGAAACGGAGACCGATGCAGTAAAAAATGTCTTTTGTACGAAAAATTCACGTCGAAGAAGAATCTGGGTAAAGAGAAAAGTTACCAATGTACAGTCATAAAATGCGGAGTCGGTCATCTCTTGAATGACGATTTGGTGCGGAAAGAGTGTACGAGGTCACTGGAATCCTATCGGATAGGATGACAATTGGCTCTCATCTGATTGAATGGGCATATTTTCACGAAAACGGGGCATTTTAAGGGCATTTTTCAGTACTTGCTTCAAACTTTTTGGAGATATTTTAAAGTGAGTGACAATATTTAAATAATCCTGGACGATTTTCAAACTACAAAAGGCGGAAACGGTCAAAAATTCGATATGTCGTACTGTTTAGGACACTTTGATAAGATGTAGGAAGAATTTTTAACTAATTTGAGAGTAAATATAACGACTTAGATAAATTTTAGGGTAAAAATACTCCTTTAACCACCTCCGACAAGAAAAAAAACAAACAAAGATGACCGAAATAGACAAAGGAAAAAATTGGAGCACGAGAAGCAAGAGCCAAAAAGTGGCAGAAGAATAAGAGGAATTTTTTAGTGATAACAAGAGAAACGACAAAATGCAAAGCATCGTTTAAAAAAAATGAAATTCTGTAGAAAAAGACTAAGGAAAAAGAAATCCAGAAGGAACAAAGCGTCGACCGATCAAAAATCTACAAAACAAAAAAAAAGCGACCATTAAAAGATAGATTGAACGCGAAAGAAAGTAAAAGACACTAAGAAAAGTGGTTGCGCAAGCAGAGACTTGTCAACAAACTGTTTGACGACAATGTCTAGAAGAATTTTTCGGAATTGCCTAATCTGCTTCGGCCCAAAGAGAATCTAGATTTCACAAATTATGGAGAAAAATGGTGGCGATTCTTGCCCTTAATGGTAAGGTTGCAAAAGTATCTTGACCAAAGAGATGATAAAAAGAGTTTCAGAGGGTCTCCAGTATGTTCATATGGGCTTAAGAATGTTGCTTTTGCTTCCAAAAGCATAATTGAGATGTGTTAGAAAAACGTTGGGGAAAAAATATCCCAAAGCCATCTCCATCTACGTCCAAGACAGAAATTCGATGGAGACAATGTGGAACCAAGTTTTTAATTTACAACATACAACGAAACTGGGAAAAGGCAAACCCTTTGCATTCTACCTGTCAACCAACAGTACCGATTGTTCCTTACATTTTTTGGAAAAACAAGAGGGAACCACACGAACCATGAAAGTGTGGAAAAGTACTCGACGAAAAAATATACACGAGATCGGTGGACGTGTCAAGCAAAATAAAAATTGAAATAAGAAAAAAAAAAAAAGTCTCATGATACTTTGACAGAAGAAGTCACCTGATTTCCAAATAAAGGAGCCACATCGATTCGTTTACAGTTTCAGGTGCTACGTCCCTTTGAACCGTGATGAATCGGCAGCCATAAACATGCGCAGGAAGGGGCAAATCGATGCTGGAATAGGGCTCAGAGATGCCTTGCCATAGCGATTTCCTTAGACCATCTTAATCTTAATTTTTTTCGTATATCAACAACAATGGCCAGCAGCCCTGATTGTGAGCCATGGCTTCCACGACGAAGATCTTGCACCTATACTCTAAAAATATCTAACTACTACTTAGTATTTTTTTTTAAATATTAAAATATACCTTAACGTATTAGTATACATATACTCACAATGCAGACGAACGGAAGACGGAAAAAGCAAAAAATAAATGTTTATAACTAATTTGCTCACGATTGCTGTTAAATAATCTCATGGAACCGACTAAATTAATAATGTTCAAATGCAAGTTGACGGGTGTCACTTTGAAAATGGCACGGTACGCTCGTAAAATTCACAACCAATCCCCTTATTCGGTAGAAAAAACAAATAGGTAAAACATCGACCTCTCACACGCTCGTTTCTTTTTTAACGTTTCTCATTTCGGGTTCCCCGGACTGATCGTCGTCCTCGTTCTCATCGCTGATGCATCTGGCACCGTTCGGCTCGTCTCTTCCCTCTCTACTGCCCTCTTTGCCTTGCTGGTGGTGATAATGGTGCTGGTAATGGTGATGATGGGGATAATGAAGGCTGTCCCGTTCGTCTCTCTGTCCAAAATCGTGAAGCTGCAGAGCTTCTCCAGCCTGCACTGGAGATGTTTTTGTGTGCTCAACCAAAGGCAGTACAGCCTCACTGTTCGACTCGTTCTCTTGGCTTTCGCTCTCCTCTTCCTCCTCTTGCTCCTCTTCCTCTTCTTCTTCGGAAGAATTCACTCTAGTCTTGGAAGCAGCCGGAGCAATAAACGCCAATTCCCGATGCCGCCTGTCGTCGTCGAACTGATTGATGCCAAAGTCATCGGCTACCCGCGAGCTTTCCAAGCTCATCGCGCCGTTCAGGGAGTTACGGAAGCCACTTTTATCTTGCGACGAATTCATCGACGACCTATCCAAGGGTAGCGAGCTGAGACTGTTGCACATCTCCCGATGAAACCTTGAAAGTAAACAAATTCCGTGATGGATAAGAATAACAAAACAGTAATATCGCGGGGCATGCAAGCAGTTACAATGTTTACAAACCTGGGCCTCGAGATTCTCTGGTTCCTCTCCGTCGTGATGGTCTCGTCGACGCTCGACCTTCTACCCGCGACACCATCAACGTACCTCGGCATAGCCATTTCACTGATGTCCGAGAGATTATGTTCGCTCCGCTCACTGGTGATCTGCGTCATCGACTCGAGCTCCGAGCTGCACTCGAGGCTGCACTGCTGGGACACGTTACGCGTATGCTTCGGTTCCGGCGGCTCCTCCTCTTCCTCGATCTTCGACTCCGTAGTATCCGACTCGTACGGACAAGTCGTGTGATTCACCGCAATCACCGGCTGGTACTTGCGACGACTGTGAACAATGCCAGGGCCGTTTTGGGCTGCGCGTGCCGCAGGCGGGGCGGCCTCGTTGATGATCTTCCTCGTACTTTTCTCGAGGCTTTCCTGACCAATGACGTATCTCAGCGCGATATTCCGATCCTCGGAGACGCTGCCGCCGCTGTCTGACAGCATGTTCACGTTCTTCGCGTCGTTCACCGGGTGGTTCATCTCCACGTGGATGTTCGTGTTGTTCACCTTGGCGCTCGTGCTCAGTATGCTCCGCTCGATGTCGTTATCCAGCTTCTGAGTCATGGAACTGGTGGGCACTACCACGGCCCGTCTCGGCACGCTCACGCAGCTCCCGTTGTCGCTCGTCGCACCGCCGTCGCCCTGTTTACGAGGTCCCAGGTTGCTGTTCTTGTTCATGCTGCGTCGTTGTTTCTTGAAGAACTTGCGCGCTACGCCGCTCTGGTGCGGGTTGTAGAACATCTCGACGGAGGCCGGGGCCGACTCGGTGTTGTACGTAGTGACCGAGTTGTTGGAACGGTACTGCTGACGGTGCAGCATCAGAAGATTCGGTTTGGCGACGTGGCTGCTGCGACTCGCGTCGTTGGACGTGAGCTTGGACGTGTTGCAGCTGCTGTGGGACTTGTGCGTGTGACGAGACGAGCCGAGCGAGTTCGCGTCCGAGGTCACTTGCGTTGCCTGGGAATTCGACAGGACAGGGGGAGCTGGAAGGAAGAAGCAGTTTTAGAAAAAGCACTCATTACTCGAATCGAGATATCAAACAAACGAGACTTAACCAGTCAGTGGAACGAGCGGCTGCGTGGGAATGGCCGGATTCGCGTCCGACACGTTTCTCGTTCTGCAGCAACGATTCTTCTTTTGCTTCAGCCAGCACCTCATCCTCAGCCACTGGGTCCTCACGTCGCTGCGTGCTATCCCGTAAAACAAAAGTACAAACATACCCAAGGAGCTCGAGGACACGGCATAAAGTACCGCGAATATGGTCTCCTTGTACGGTATGTACATGTCGAGCAGGTTGGCCGTCGTCATCGCAGCGCACAGCCAAGATATCAGGTAGAGAATCATGACGACGATCAAGCCCTTGAGCTGCGTCATCTGCGAGTGCTCCTGGTCCTCGACCTCGGACGATACGGTCTGCGAGCTGTGCAAGCTTATCCTGTCCGAGCTGGGATTTGGATTTGGCTCGAGCAGCTCGAGATCGACGTTCTCCGTGGCTTGCGTGCCCTCCGACAGCTGCCCGTTCAGGTCTACGTTGCGAATCGTACACCTAATCAGCATGTGCAAGACCGTCAAATAGATCAAAAGCACCGCAGCTGGAACAAAGAGGGCGGCCAGCGAGGGTGCCGTCGTGAGGAAGCAGTGGGAGTAGCCAGCGTACTCGCGCAGGTTTATGGAGCCCGAGATACCGCAGATTATCAGCGCTATACCCCAACCGGCGAGGTACAGACCGAGGATCGGCTTGCGGATCGGCTGCTCGCGCAGCTCGTCGTCGTCCGCTATCGGGTCCATCATCGATTTGGACAGGCGCTTGTACATGTTGCTGGAGAAAATCGATCGTTGAGTTTAATTGTAATAATATTTGTTGTTATTGTGATACATGTGTATGTTACCTTGCCGAAACGGTCATCCAGAGCAAACAGCACAGCGTCAGGTAGTGCAAACTGATACCGACGCCTTGGCAAATCTCGACGTTCTCGGTTTGTTGTATACCCGAGCTGTACAAAAAACAAAGAAGAGCTATGGCTATCCAGGTGTTGATCACGCAATGTTTGGCTTTCTTCGGCATGGCTATGGATGCGTAACAGCAGACGTAGGTCACGGTCGTGACGATCAGACACAGTACTAATATGAAACTGCCCACGTATATCGCTGGATTCGAGTATCTGAACTGTGCACCCGTAAAACTGTCAAGGGGAGGAAAATAAAAAAGCGTTTTGAATAACTCCAATGCTGATCAACTGCCCTTTTTTTTTTTTTTTTTTTTTTTTTCGTTTAAACTCACGTTTTTCCATCCTCGCTGAGAAACGATGTGTCCTGAAGCAGTCCGTAATAACCCAGTCTGTCACAGCTAAAGATGATAAAATTATTGATGAAGTTTGACAAGTAACAGCCCTGATTGGTCCAGCCACCAGTGTTGTTGTTTAGAGTCGCGTCCCAAACGACTGGTATCGGCTTGCTGTTGCTGTAGTACATCAATGGTGCCTTAAGCATGACGTAAACAGGCTCGGTAAGATTTTCAACGGCTGTCCCGACTGAAACAAAGTCATTACAATCGATAAATATAGTACGATCAACGACGATTTTTCTAGTTATATATTTTAAACTCACTTAGTTTACTGCCAGCGATGCTCGACGTGACGTCATTCTTTTCCGTATCGTTGACTTTTGGGAAGAGCTTGTTATCCGTGTACATGGACACCATGAGCTGATTGTTGTCCGCACTGCTTTTCACGCCCCTAAACAGCGTGGCTGGCAAATGTATGGAAGCTTCGATGACAGTTTCCCCATTCGCGTTGACAATCGCGGTCTTGTTGCTCATCGAGCAGTGCAACATCTTGACAAACGCGTTCTCGGTGCTGCTGTACCAGGTGCAGGTCAAGCCGGCAAAGCTGTCAGCCCTGACCCGGTACTCCTCGAGAGCCATGTTCTTCTTGTACAGTTGTATCAGCTGGCTCGGCGGGGTCACCTCGACTATCAGCTCTATCGTCTTCAGCAGCCTCGTGCACGCCTTGTGCCCGATTTCCGCCGCTTTGAGCATCGACTTTGGCAGATTCAAGAGAACGTTCACCACGTCTATCAGCATCGAGCCGAGCTCCTTCTCCTCGACCAGGTAGCTCGCGTAATTCTCCAAGATCTGAGCTACAAAGTGCACCTCCACGGGATCGGTCAGGGAAGCCCCCTCGCCCGTGATGTTTTTCAATTTTTTTATCGTCTCCAGCAGCGATCCCTTGGGCAACGACGGCTTGGTCAACGATATGTTCACCGTCGAGAATTGCTCGAGTATTTTCGTCGTGGCCGACACGTAGGGGCACTGCTCGGTGTTTAGATTCTCCCAGTGCCCGGTGCTGTTGCATTCGTAAGAGGCTCGTGGCCACGGCTGGGACGATCCGAAGGCCTCGCACGGCAGCTCCACCTTCCAGCCTATGACTGTCCGTGGCCAGGCGTATACCCCTTTGTTACTTCGCGTTACTAAATATTTAAAAAAAAAGCACCATTGAAATGTGATTTCCACAAAGAATAATTTTGGGGTCTTCCTCGAGACATTGTTTGGAACTTTGCTTACTCGCCAAGGGGCAGTACTGGGTGCGGTTGGATATGACGATAACGTTGATGGCCCGCGATGTGTTTCCATACGCCGAGACGAGAAGGCAATTCCACTGTCCGTTGTGCTCCTCTTTTACCGGATCGATGCTCAGTGAGCTACAAAATGGATTGGTACTCAGAAACAAATAGTTGCTTTAAATTTAAAAAAAAGGATAAAAATACCTCGCAACAATGCCGCTGTCGTCGAGATACTTGTTCTCGACTCTAACGTCGTTGAAATTGTTCTGGGGATTGTTGTAAAAATCCAAATCCAAAATATCGGCAGTGATGTTTGAATTCCAGAGCCAATTGATCTTGGCGAACTTGTCGTTCGTGACACTGGGTGCTCGGCACTTGAGTGTTATGATGTCGCCGGCAAAGACCACTTGGTTCTGATCCGGTACTATCTCGATCGTGGGGGTCGACCATTTGCACTCGTATTCCTTGAGCACTCGTAATTTTTTCACAAACTTGCCTCTCAGACTTTGCGGGGAATCGCACTCTGGTGCCGGGCTACATTGAAAATTTACAATGGGATAATTCACGGGGACTGCAACATGTGTTTCGATGAATTTCATTTATCCTTGTACTCACTTTAACTTGACCGAATTGTTTTGGATCCAATAGCTGAACCAAAATAAATTGCAATCACAGTCCCAAGGGTTGGCAGAGACGTCTCTGATATTTCGAAAGGTAACGTTATTTTTAATCTTTTTTTTTTTTTTTTTTTTTTTTTTTTTTAGTGGAAAATCGGTTTCAACAATGACTTACAATTGCCTCAGCAGCGACAGACTGTGAAAGGTGCCTTCTTTCAACGTTTGGAGTTTATTGCCATTTAATTTTCTGTGAAAAAAAATTAAAAGCAGTGTTAAATACATGTGTACCAATGGTTCAACGAAGTCTAATGGGCGTGATGCATCTTCTACCATTTTACGACTTCTAGAAAGTGTAGCAATTTACCGAATTTTATTCTAAAAGTAGTCAAATAAGCTGTTCAATCGAAATTCACTACATTGGATGTTGCGGAGAAAGTAAGGGTCAAGATAAAACAGAAATCAACCAGAGACAATACAAAACAATTTCCAAACTAAACAACTCAAATTTAAATGAAAACTTACAAATGATCTAAAGCCAATAAACCGTGAAATATCGTCACCTCTAACGTGGCTACAGCATTATTTGATAAATCGCTGTATGAACCCATAGCAAAGAAATTATTTTTATTGAAAAACTTAACAGTAAAACAAATTATACTCCAAGTACGCGGTACTTACAGTCTTTTCAAGTTGATTAATGTCTTAAAGGTGTTAGAGTCGATCGATGAAATAAAATTCTTGCTCAAATCTCTGAAAATAATTGATAAACGATGTACACCTCTGTGTTAATCAGTTGGAGTAGAAATAATAATAAAAAGTAAATTCTTACAGTCTCTCCAAGTTTTCCAAGCCCTCAAAGATCCCCTCGTCTAACACTGTTATCTTGTTGACAGAAAGATTCAAACGTTTCAAGTTTGACAAATTTTTGAAACTATCCACCCTGATTATTGATATATCATTTTTACTTAAATCCCTGGAAAAAAAGGAATACATTTTGTCATCAGCTGTAAAACATTGAAACAATCGTATCCACTGATTTAACATCCACTTACAAGTGCAGCATCTCAACGCTAACGTCCCTAAAGTCAATTTCTTTAATCTCTTGTATGTCATCCTTGCAAACAACTTTCCGCCATTCTGCTTGTGGTTTGATGTGTTTGCAGGTGCAACGGGATGGGCACACGGAAGAGGTGGATTGGAACCCTTTCAAAAGGGTCAAGAACAGGAGTATCCTGAACATTTTGTTCGCAAAGTGATTTTTAATGGAAAGTCAGGGAGAAGGAGAGAGAGAGATGAGACAATGGATAGAAGAAGGCTTTTCACCTGCAATTGAAAAAAAATCAGAGACTCATTTGACTGGCAATAATCAGCTGGTCCTACTGTTTGCCCAATCATACATATTTAAAACGCTTGGCTAGATTTGAAAAATCCAATCTTATAATGCAATAAGCGCGTGCGCTCTCTTTGTTTACAAACGCGTGGGCGTTTGTTTATATATAACTAACAGGAAAAGCAGCACCAATGGGTCATTGACATACTCTCTCTGGAATGCTGTACTTGGGTGCTTGTATACATCTTAAAAAACAATATTCAAGTAAAACGTGTGTTAAGAACTCACAAGCTTGAAGAGGAGAATAGTTGACTCTTCCCCAAGGCCCCAAGACTCCTCTTTTTTTTTTTATCTTCACATCTCCACCCCACTCTTGAAGATCAGATATTTTTAATCCGACTCCTTTGAAATATTGAAAACTAAAACAAAGGTGTATTCACGCACAAGCAAACTCCGTTTTATTGAATTTTTGAGAGGTAGCATGTAGCTTCTCGTTGTAACAATGCACTTGTTCCCACTACTCCCTACATATTTGCAAAAATACACTGTACACGCGCGTGTTCTCTCGTTTGTTTTTAATTACTTAATTCGCGAATAAGCCGATGACCACGATGATAATACCGTTGCATGGCCATTAAAATCTATATACCATGGGAAGGCGACTGCTGCCGCCTTTCTCTAAGGCTGCCGCCGATGCAGAAGCATGAATATATCTTTCGCTTTACTCGTGGCCTGGAATTTCAAGTACACCTTTGGGGGCCTGGGGGGCCCTTTTTTTATATGTGTAGAGCTGGTGTATATAATGCGTATAAAAGTTATGCCCTTTACATGTGCCGCTTTCCACCTGCTGTAGGTGTGGACTCTGCACTCTCTTTATCTTTGCTGCATACTCTCTCTTGAGAATAGGAGTTTGGAGATCGGAGTACCTATATATATACATATACACATGGGGGAGACGGGAGAGTTTTGGAGCATTGGAGCTTTAAGTGGAGTTCTGTGATGTCACTATGGGATAACTGACGTCATGCAAGGCAATGCGTAAAAAATGCAAACCAGAATTCTGAATGTGATCATTTATTTAGGTGGAGTTGATTGTTCCTTGGCTGCTCTAGCTTAGCATTTTTTACAATTCAATTGGTATTATTTTTACGTTGGTAACGAGGATGAAAAGTTGTATATGAAGCTGAAAGAGGCATCATTTTTCCAAAAGTGCTGTGTTTAGTAATTTTTCTGTCTTTCTGTAGCACTGAAGTAATTACTCCTTCCTTGGCGTCCGTAAATATTTGGGCAGTCTGAAAAAACATTTAGATTTTAGCACAAACGTTTAGTCTAATGATTAGAAAACATAATAGTTACAATGTTTACTTAAATCAGGGTCAAGTTACATCTTTTAAACAGTATACATTATAGAATATACTGTTATCAGGTGAAGAAATTCTAACATCATGTTAATACGTCATTTAATCAACAAATAATTTGATTGTATTTTCATACTCACTTTAATGATTTTCACGTTGAGCTGCTTACAAATGTGCACAGCAATCATTTCTTGATCAGAAGAATGATGTAGACAACGGATTTGTTACTAAAGTAATGGCATTTACCAGCCTCCTTAGTAGCAATGACAAGTGAAAAACACTGGAAAAAATATAATTTTTGTACATCTTGCAATACTTAGGCCTAAACAATTTTATTACTTTCTTTTTTATCAGTGTCAAGTTTCATCTAGTGAACAATAAATGTGATAATTTATTGTCCTCAGGTGAAGAAATTCTAACATCACATGATTATGTTTAAACATAGCAACTAATAAAAATTCAAGTAAACAAACCTTTTAATATCTTGCAAACTTCACATTCAATATCGACATCTCACGTTATCAGTAGCATTAGTTGTAAGTTGTTAATACTTGGTGCCTCCAAAGCAATTTTTTGGTAGTTTAAGTTTTTCAGTTCCATACTGGGTACTGAAAAATAAATAACATTTTTTTAGCAAAGACTCATCGTTATAGAATTTTGGAATATTCATTTATAACAGGCAGAAGTGTATACTAACTTAAATGAAGTGATTAAACATATTGAGATTCTTAAATCGTAAAATAATCACAGAGTTAAAAAAATCAAATATCTTACCTTGCTCTACACTTCTTTTTGTATAATCAATGTAAGTGATTACTTATTATCTTGAAGATTTCGACAGAGAGTAATCGAAGCTAAAATTGTACTGCGTCAAGTATTCATCCCCGGGATCACAATCGGATTCAATTCACGTTTCACAACGTGTTCACGCGTTCACGACTTCACGGTTCATATTCAAAACAAATCTAACATAACCTATAACCTAACCTTATCTTTATCATAAAATAAGATTGATTTCGATTATCGATAATCGATCGATTAAGCTTTGCAGTGCACTTCAGGCTTCACTCGGATCTCGGCTGTCGTCTGCTGCAATATCGTCCGGCGATGCGGGTTTGTTGAGACTTGGTTCATTTCATAGAGGTATAATAATTATTATACCTCTATGGTTCATTTGTTGTGTTGTGCATCAGTTGAGTTTAACTATATACTTATAGATATAGTTTTTAACTTTCTGTGAGTTTGAAAAGATTTTAAGTGACGAAATAAAACTGTTATAATTATTAAAAAAAATAATAATCTTGACTCATTAAATTAGTAGGTAGTCATTATGCGCTATGGATTATGTATTTTTGAATCTAAACATTAATTATTAATGTGTTATTAGAATAATTTTGAAACCTTCAGCATCAATTTAACGGATTATTGTTACTACGTTTGTTCATTAGAAATTAAAAAAATTAACTATGAAGAGAATCAATAGGCAGCTTTTAAAAATTTTCAATTTCAAGAGACTGTACAGTCAAGATGTGGTTTGTTGTTGAATTTTTTGTTGAAAGTTATTTTTAATCGAACATTTGATAACCAATATGTATACCTCTGCCTACAGCTACAAAAGAAAATCATACCGGTTTTGGATTCAGAAATTCACTTACCAGAACCCGAATATGATATAGATTTTTGGTGCAATCCATTTAACCGAGATTTGATAGTTAAAAACATTTCAAAGAGAAAAAGTCATGCAGACATTAATAGAATTCTGCAGTTGCATCAAAATTCCCATTCTCAGGAAGAACTTATAAACGAAATACGAAAAATTCCTAATCTTACAGATCCCAAAGTTCTTGAATACAAGGACAATGAGCCTTGCGTTCTTAGAAAAATGGGAGAGCAGCCTACTTTTAGATTTAAACCACAAGAATTTTCTCAAATAATGGCGAGATTGAAGTTATTGAAAAGCGATCGTCTAGGCCCAGTAACAGGGTCCAAGAGTTACATTCTCATGGATGATCTGGCTGAACTGGAGCAGGCTCTTGTCAAATATACTATCAAAGAACTGTTGAAAAATAACTTCCATCTGATCTCTGTACCAGATATTTTACCTTCCCAAGTCATTGAAAGGTGTGGACTTATCAGTGATGGTGAGAGAAAACTGGTGTATGAGTTGGAGCCATTTTATGGCGACGATTTAAGTCTGTCAGGTACAGCTGAGATGGCTTTAGCTTATAAATTGTCAAACAAAATATTCTCTCCTCACGAGTTACCCTTGAAACTTGCCGCTGTGAGTAGATGCTACAGAGCTGAGATTTCACAGCTGGCTGATGAAAGAGGCATTTACAGGTATATTAAGAAAAAGAAATAAAAATCATTTATCTTATCCTGTGTAGTTAATGAATTTATTTGCAGAGTTCATCAGTTTACCAAAGTTGAAATGTTTGTTTGTTCCGATCAAGAAAAATCAATTGAAATAATGGATCAAATTGTTGCACTGCAGGAAAAATTATTTGGGCAGTTAGGATTGTATTATCAAGTATTAGATATGCCTCCTAATGAATTGGGATCACCAGCTTATAGGTAAAAATATCTAACGTGATCCACTTTGAAAAAGTCTTTTTTATGCTCCCTTTTTTTCCATATCATTCATTGTGTAATTGTAGAAAAATCGATATTGAAGCTTGGATGGTAGGCAGAAAAAAATTTGGCGAAGTGTCAAGCTGCAGCAATTGCACGGACTATCAAGCGCGAAGACTCAACATTAAGTACAAAACGAAAGATGATCAAATTTTACATGTGCATACTTTGAATGGAACAGCTTGTGCAGTGCCCCGTATGCTTATCGCGATTTGCGAAACACATCAAAAGAACGACAATAGCATCGCTGTGCCAAAAGTTTTGCAAGAATTTATGAATGGTAAAAGTTTTATACAGAAAAGTGACGCACCACGAACTAAAGTATTCAAAAGTAATCAAAAAGTTAATTGACGCAAAGATAATTTGTATTATAAATGTAAATAAAGTCGTTAGTTGAAAGCGCTATAGTTTTAAATTATTCATCACTAACTTTTATCATCACGAGTCAATCAATTAAAAATTGTCTTACTACGGTTGAAAAAATTGTATTACTATCTTAAGTTTGCATATTTATAGTAGGAAATTGCAATTATTTTTGGATAGGGAACAAGGGTTGTATTGAATGTAAATATAGACCACTAAATATCAAACATCATTTGACAGTATATTTTTATAAACTGATACATCGTTTTATCTTATTGTACAAATTAGGTGAAGGTTTTGAAAAGTGTACATACATATCTTCATTAAATTCTGTATACACATTGCAAAGTGAAGTCTTGTAATTTTTTTCTCTCAATGCAATACAATTTAGACATCATTGCAAATTTACAATCTTACTGTATAGGAATACCTCTTTTTTTTATTAATTGTTCGATATTTTCAAGGTCTTTTTTTTTTCTTTTAAAAGAATCAGATATTTGATAAGATTTGGAACTTGTGTTTTTAGTTTTTTAAAATAGTTATTCCTGTTTATGAAGTCATAAATAGTTTTTTTAACACAGAACGTTCCATGTATATAAAAAAAAAAATTTGTTTTTTTTTAGACAGACTCTGTCTTGTCCTAAAACGAGCATGATATATAATTTTTTTTTTTTTTTTTTTTTTTTTTTTTTTTTTTTTTTTTTTTTTNAGTTTTCGTGGCACGATTAAAGAAGCCTTTCATCCGAAAATCCAATAGCACACCCATTGACGATGATTAAACACCACAAACCTTTTTTTTTCCATCAACGTATACAAGCAGTGATAAACGCTGATTACCTCACTTTGTAACAATCAACTCTTGGCTCCTCTCGATTAGCCAGGGGAAAAAAAAAAAAAAAAGAAAAAGAAAAAAAAAGGGTACGTTTTTGAGTAAACAGTAAAATTGTCAATACTTTGAATTCGTTTAGTCGTCCTCTTCTGCTGATTCAGACTCCTCTTCAGCATTTTGTAACCACTCGACAAACTTCTTCATTTGGTCCAAAAAGAGCATTTTTCCTTTAACTGAATGCCCGTCCTTGTACCACCTTAGAATCACTTCTTCTGATATTACATCGGCTGTAAAAATGATTTATGGCGTATGAAATTTTTTTTTCTTGTGATGAGCAATTTGAAAATTTTACTTTAAATGACTTACTTTTGTAAAATAGTAGAACAATTTTTTGGAAGACTTTCATAAAGTTCATATTCTCGTAGCAGAACTCTTGAACTTTAAGTAGCAAAGCAAGCTCAGACTTGGCAGTGGTAGTGAAAGCGGCAAACAATTGTGAGTAACTCTTCAAATGTTTCAGTGCTTGTTCGGCAACCAATTCCTCCTTTTTGTTCCATTCAGCTTGTCCCATTACTGTACTCCAAATCTGAAACATCCAGACAAGAATATTTAGATAACAGCCCAATAACCAACCAATTTGTTCATAAGCAATTTATTCTTACCAGTCCAATAACGTCATGTTCAGGAATTGTGTGCCGTTGAGCCATTTCTTTGAGATCATTGACAATGTCTTTTATGGGTTTATTGTCAGACAAGTCATCTAAAAGTAATGTTTGAAGGTCTCGTTTGGCTTCTTGGCTGGCTTGAGCCTTATGGAGTTTTACAATGTCAGCTAGCTCAACAGTTTCGAAAACGGACCTAAAGTATTCATCTGTCCTTTTGTTTGGTGGAACAAACTCCATTAACCTACGAAATCAACAATCATTTCAGTTAAATACTTGAAAAAAAATTAGGTACAGTGAGAGCACAAGAGCATACACACCTTCCTTCAATACCTCCCTTTTTCAATGCCGTCATCAAACTGGGCAAGCCTTTTTCGTTCTTCCATGTCACACACACTTCAATAAGAAAGTCCAGAGCAAGGTTGTCCTTTACGAGATGTTCGTTGATTAAAACAGAAAGCACCGTTGGTGGTACAGCTCCATTGGAAATCCAGAGGGCAGTCATTCTTGCCAGTTTAATTCTCTCCTCTATGCTGAACCCTTTCATGAATACTAAAACTTTTTTCATTTCTTCTTCAAACATCTTCTCCAGGTATTTGTATCTCCGCGTGAGTTTGATGAAGACCTGTACACACACAAGATGATTTTTATTTAAAATTAATTATTCAAAAACAACTCGTACAAAACTTTTGTTTTGCCTTTGTCTTTTTCTTAATCTCGTTATGAAATGTACAAAAATATTATGTACTCTTAATTTAGAGCACGCACGTAATCATTGTACTTAAGATCATGATCTTTTAAATCGTTCCAATGTGTACCATGACCTGTTATTCATTTTTATAAGCTGATTTTCCAAACTAAAACTAATGAACCCCAAGATTTGGTCAAAAATATCGAGCGACTATAATTGTTACAAGGGTCTCACCTGCTCAAAATTGCGCATGGACTCCATCTCCGCAGACTGGCCAAAGACACAGGCTGTGGTTTTGACGAGCTTGTCACCATCTTGAGCGATTGTACCGCCTGGAATGAGGAGACCACCAGCAATCAGAATATCAAAGAGAACTTCACCGTAACGACGATAATCAAGTTTAGAGCCAGCAGTATCCAAGTACTTTGAAATCGCCTCTAAGTCGTTGTCGGCTTTATCGAGACCAGAGATGACAGCGTCACGAAATCCAGTTGGATCATATTTTTCTTTTTCATCTGCAAAGAGGCAAAAACAGCATTAGAGTGCCTCTATCTTGGGAACAAAGGCCAAAGAGCTGTGTGAATCATTCAGACGTGAAACAAAGTGAGGGTGAAACTTATTTTCACTTTTGTCTCTCAACAAAAGAGAACGAAAAGAACACATGCACGTATTACATATAATGTGAAAGTGTCAAAGTATGTCGTATGTGGCTAAAAAAAAAAAAAAAGATCAACTCACCTCTTTTTCTGGTCTTGATGCGTTGACCTGACAACACTGGCTTTTCTATTTTTTGACTCATACAATATCCCTCTGAAAAACGATCGAAAGAAAATTAGATATACAATCGTTGACGTGCACCTATATGTATTTTATATTATAAGAAAGAGATTGTGCTTGTGTTTCTAACGGAACCTCAAGCCCACAGCGATCTTAAAAAAAGAGAAGAGAGAGTAGCATGACGACAACGACATTACATACGTATAAGTATATAGAGAAAGCAAGAGACACGGGGATATTTAAAGGATACGTAGGTATATGATCGTGCAAACGTGTCCGAGAGAGAGGGAGGCTCTGAGAGAGAACGAGCACGAGGACGTATCGTCCTTCACGTACACGCGTACAGGAAAAATTCTCTAGAACGCCACTCGTGCGTTGACATGTATATCTATATGCATTATAATCCACCACCCAACGGAATTATATACGTCTTCGCCAGGTACCAAGTACTTACTTAAAAACGCTTGCTCCGAAAGATATGCTACCTTGTTATTATTTTACGAACAACAACCGCGCGAGAATATATAGAACTAATTTGTTAATGAAAATGCGAAAAAAAAGAGGCAAAGAAAAGAACACCCGCGAGAGGTTAAGGTCGTAGTCGCGGGGGAAAGGAGCGAGAGGCCACACGGTTCGAGAGAGCCACGATGGCTGATTCGATTACTGTTGCGAAAGAGAGATAGACAATGAAAACACTGTGGGACTCTATCTGCCCGCCATGCGAGGGAAAAAACGGAAAACTTTGGTAGATACGGGCAGTTTTGCCTGCTCGTTATCGCCTGTTTATCAAACAAAATGTACGTCTCCCCGAATTTTGAGCTAATGTACGAAAAATGAGGTAATTTTAAGGAATAATTAATCGGTACTTGTTCGGTACTCACTTTGTAACAGGTACGAACCGAAAAAAACCACTTCCACTCAAACTAATTTGCTTCTCACGTATTAATTACGTCAGTGATAACCGCACAATGTATATGCCCGCGAAATTTATGGTCTTATAATAGCGAATGAACTGTAATTGTGCGACTATACGGCGTTGAGTAGTAAAATTAGTTTCTGTTTCTGCTCTGCTTCTAAAACGACACATGCGGCGCGCTCGTCTGCTTGAGCTTCTACCCCCCCTCTCTTGCAGCTATCTCGCTCTCTCACGACAATCTACCGATTACCGATAATATAGGTTTGTTTAACAATGCCAGTGTTAAAATTATTATACATCAAATTTGTTCAGAGTAAAATTTCTTAATTCAAAATCTATGCACCAAGAACCACAAGTTCTTATTATCTGTACTTTTAAATTATACGTAGGCAAAACATTCTACAGTTGAAACTTATATTAATATTAGAAAAGATATTGTCATATCCTCTTAAAAAATAAAAATAAACCTATGTAAGGTCATGAGGATATAAATAATTGTTGTGTAAATAAAATAAAAATACATTCTTACATATTTTACCAAGATCCAAATAATTAAATCTTCAGAGAAAATCTTTTTTCCCGTTCTGAGCTTTAACTAAAAAAAACTCATCTTGACCGCGACGAAATTGAAACGGAAACGAAAACTACTAATCAGGCGTGTTGATTTTTTTTTTTTTTTTTAATTTTCAACCTTTAATTCTACTCTACTTGCTTTTGGTCTGTTTTTTTTTTTTTTTTTACGG